ACCTGCTCTTAGAGGAGGGTGAGCCTTGGTTGGCAATCCATGTAGTGTTGGTGTCACGATAAAAACACCCTTGATAGCCCTAGCGAAGAATTCACCTATTTGACAAGATTATGAACTACACCAATCAAAGTATTGGTGAGTTCAATCTCGGCTGAGTCCGCAAGATGATGATATTATATATATATATATATATATATATATATATATATATATATATATATATATATATATATATATATATATATACACACACACACACACATATATATATATATATATATATATATATATATATATATATATATACCTATAATAAATAGGTAATCATACAAAGAATTAGCAATATTGATGTAATTCTTGGCAAAATCACTTTGCTAACAGACTTAATAAGGCATTAACTTACTAAAAATCCATTGAATAATGCGATCCTTATGTACAAAATTGTTTTAAGATGGATCTGGTGCTGTAGAAAGAGTACTTTCCAAAATGTTATATTTTCATCCCCAGGCCGCATTTTTTTTTTCCATTTAGAAATAAACGTATTGCACCGAAATATATTTTTAAGAATTTATTGTATATTAACGGTTATATAATTTTGTAACTTGCAATGTCGCAACGCTAGAATTCAAATTTATATTTGAATTTAGCAATGTGTTGTATGTGTTGTTGTATGTTGTCTTAGACATTATTTGCAAAATTAAGGCCTCAGGATGAAAATGTGAAATTTTAGAAGTTACCCACCCTGCAACGAAAAATCTATCTGAATTTATTTTCTTTTAAATTAGGAACGCGTCGTTTAATTGTCAGTAAGATATTAAGTCTGTTAGCGAAGATATTATGCCATTAATTACATTAATATTGCCAATCAATTCTTTGTATGATTACCCCTTATTGATATAAAATAGATACTGCACAATCTAATATATATATATATATATATATATATATATATATATATATATATATATATATATGATTCTCAGAATTATATAACGTATCAATAGTAGACTCAAGAGTTAGTGCATTCGAAAGTAAATGCTTTTAAATTGAAGATCGTAAATAGATGTTTATTGACTGCCGAAACGGAATTTCTATCAAAATATCGTAGCTAAAACACAAAATAAAAAAAAATGAAAAATAATTTCAGAATTTTGAATACTTTTAATATAACGCCCAACGGTGTTATCAACGATATCTTCTTGGGAAGAAATAATGTATTTTTCGAATTCATTAACTGTTTGCAAAAGAGGAGATTGTTTTGGACAGAATGTTTTCAATAGATTAAATATGAAAAGAAAAAAAAAAAAAAAAAGTTACTAAAGGAAGATATATATATATATATATATATATATATATATATATATATATATATATATATATATATATATATATATATATTATTATGTATATATATATGTGTGTTACAGAATTTAGCATTCACATATTTTAGTATATATATATATATGAAAGTAATTCTCTCTCTCGCACACATTTGCATACATACACATACACGCACACACACACACATATATATGCGTGTGTGTATATATATATATATATATAGATAGATAGATAGATAGATAGATAGATAGATAGAGAGAGAGAGAGAGAGAAACATATAAAGACACGATTTCCAATACTGAGTAACCTTCCGTAATAGATATAGAAAATTTCTTTCTTTCTCTCTCTCCCCCTCTCTCACACTTTCTCTCTCTCTCTCTCTATGTTATATATATATGTTTTATATATATATATGTATATATATATATATAATATATATATATATATATAAAACATATATATATAAAACATATATATACATATATATATATATATATATAAATCATATATATATATATATATATATATATATATATATATATATTTATAAACATATATATCTGTATATAAGCAACATAATATGAATATAAGATAATATGGAAATCTATACATATATGAGTTTGTTTATTTGCTTACTGTCTCGTTTTTGATAACTAATTACAAATAATTACATTTAAAAGTCGCCTCACGTATCTACATAAGTTTATTTTGGAGTAATTAATGAATTCGCTTATGCTTTCATCAATTTCAAAAGAGATAATTTGTGTTATTATTCATGGATATGTTAAATGACAGGATGTTAGGCAGACAAAATCGAAACAAATAGATGGAGGCCTCAGACGGTAAATGGAAGAGAAAGAAAGAAACAGGAAGATCATAGAAAAAAGAACTGAAAATGGAGAATGAAAAGGAAGAATCATAGTGCAAACTAAAGAGAAAGAAAAAGATAGAAAGAAAACAGGAAGGAAGGAAGGAAGGAAGGAAGGAAGGAAGGAAGGAAGGAAGGAAGGAAGGAAGGAAGGAAGGACAAAAAAAAGAAAAAGAAAAAGAAAATTAAAGGAACAGACAATGAACGAAATAAACGATGAAAGATAGCTGGAAAGCGATAAATCATGAAAGGCTGAAAATAAAAGAAGACAGAAAGAAAGAAAGAATGAAGCAACAACTGAGGAAAGAGAGAAAATAACAAAATAAAAATAAAATAAATAAATAAATAAACGAACTGGAAAGCCAAAAAGGTAAAACGAACAATAGAGAAATCAAGTAAATAGGAAAGAAAAATAAAAAAAACAAATGAAAAACGAAAGGAAGAAAAGAAGAGAGGGAGAATAAAAAAGAAACAAAGAAAGAAAAGGAAACGGAAAAAAAGAAAGATAATTAAAAAGAAATAAAAGGAAAAGACTGAAATAAAAGAAAGAAAGAAAAAAGTATAGAATGAAATTAATAAGAAAGAAAAGAAATGAAAAGAAAGAAACTGAAAAGAAAGAGAAAGAGAAAATATAAGACTCAAAAAGAAAGAATGTTGAATGATTTTAAGAAATTCATTGTGAATCATGGGTGCTAAGAAAATGTTTTCTCTCTAGCAAAGTACAAAGCGGAATAAATGAGAAAAGAAAAATTGAGAAATAAAATAGAGAAGAAAAATTGAGGAATAAAAGAAAAGAAAAAAATTAGGAATAAAAGAAAAGAAAAATTGAGGAATAAAAGAAAAGAAAAAAATTAGGAATAAAAGAAAACTTGAGGAATAAAAGAGAAAAAATGTATTCTTCCTACAAAACATATATCATCGTATCAAAAATCTGAGAAAAAGAAAATACTTTGGGAAATATCTTCTAAAATATTATTGACGCAACACAAAATTGAGTAAATAAAAATATAAACATTTTCAAAGTTTCCCCGAAAGTGTCATAGATTTAAAATAGCAGTGACGCAAAGTAGGAAGAGAGCAAAACAGATCCCGTTGGTTTATCTCAAGAGATCAGAAGCGTAAAACAAACGAGAAGACTATGACAAAGAAAATGAGATGCCCCCACCTAAATGTGACATTGGCCTCAAAAAAATAGCAGTAGAGGAAAAATGAAAATAAGAAACAATTACGATGCTTTTTTTAGAATGTGTCAATGAAGGTGAAAAAAAGTAAATGCCAATGAAACAAAATGGACAGAAAGAAAATAAAAAGATAGGTGATGTTTCTTTAAAAGTGTCACTGACATCGAAAATAAATGACAAAGAGAATCAATGGCGAAAAGATACAAATCAAAATAGAACAAAATTAAGAAATCTGCAAGAACTTCTTGTTTCTTCCAAAGTTTCTTTGACGAAAAAAAAAGCAGCTGACAAAAGACCTAACAAGAAAGAAATAGAATGCAATATAATTTCAATAATTATACCAAAATATTATTGCTTTTAGAATAAATGAAAATAAAGTAAAAACGTTGGAGGAAATGAAAATAATTTGTGATTTTCCTACCAATGTTTCATTGACGTAAAAAAGAAAGCAGGATAAAACAAAGAAAAAATAGTAGGTGAAAAGAAGCCCAAAATTCCATTAGTGTAAAATTAAATTACAATGAGGCAATGACACAGAACTAAAATAGAAGACACTGAGATATTTCCCAAAGTGTCATTGGCGTAAAACAAGTCGAAACGATACAAAAAATTTAAAAAAAAGGACAATACAGTTTCTTTGGAAGTGTCATTGATATTAAAAAAATATAAGATTTGTAGCAGGATAATGAAATATATATATATATATGTATATATAAATAAAAAGAAAGAACAGTAAGATATATAACCCGGTGTTCTTATAGATATTTTTTATTTTTACAAACTAGTGCTCAACGTAAATTTACAGAGCATTAATATTATAAATTAATTGATTTAAAATATGTTTTTTCGCGAAAAAAATTTTTTTAAATCAATTACTTTATAATAAGAAATATATATTATAGATCTTCCAAAGTGTCATTGCTTTTAATCTAGATGAAATTGAAGAAGGAAAGAAACAAGAACGAAAAATATGAATGATAAAAGAAGGATGGAAGAAAAAGGAAAGAAAGAAAAAAGTAAAAACATAAAAAAGGTAATAAGCAGAAAGAAAAAAGAAATAAATAGAAAAAATTAGAAAGAAAAACAAGGAATGAATGAAAAAGAAAAATGTAACAAAAGAAGGAAAAAAGAAATTAATTTGCAGTTTCTTAAAATTAAAAGAGAAAAGAAAAAAAAATGAAAAGAGTTGATTTTTTTTTTTTTTTATTTTTTTTTTTAAAAAGAAAGAGTGAATTAGTGTAAAAGAAAAAAGGAAAGAAATTGCCCAGTTTCTCCAAATTAATTTTCCCCAACTAATGTAAGACAAGAATTACCAATGAAACGCTTAAATGAATAAAAAATATACTTAATTTAATCAACGGAAGAAAAACAACACCTGCGCGAGAGTGCTACACCACTTCGTAAAATGTGACCTAATAAAAAAAATAATAGAATTCATTTTTTATTTAGTTTTATTTCTTATTTTTTAGTGGGCTTGAGAAGCCTTTTTACTATACAACCTCCCATATATTCCCAATACAAAGGGTTTTTTTTTGCCGTGAATATTATTCTTCATAAATATCAACGAATGAAAGGAAATATATGGGGTCTCTGAAATATTCCTACTCCAGATGTCATTACACCGAGATCAGAAACCTTGCACTGAAAGAACCAATTTCAACGTAGAACCCCTAAAATTATAGAAGAGAAGAGAGAGCAGTGGAAAACGTAAAGAAAGAAATAATAACAATACTTAAAATTAACCTCCCAGTTATATCAGCATACATCAATAATACACATATCGATCACGCACTACAAGTATCTATTCCCAACAAAGATACGAATGACAGTTTTCTAGAAAATCACGAATCTAAAAAGTGACGGTAGAAGTATAAAATTGCCACCTATTGTCCCAGGGTTATAAAAAATCATGAAAGATGGACATAAACATTACAGAGAACCGTTAAAAGATGGAACCGTTCTGAAAGTGCCATAGCAAGATTCTCGAAGAAATTAAATCCTGGGTAACAACCTAAATCCAGACCATCGCACTTGTGGGAATCGGATAAACAAACAAGTGTTTTCTTCTCTGAATGACGTTCGCCTAGCTCCCTGACATCAAATAGATTTTTTTCATGTTTTACAATATATTAAAATTATGTCATTTCATACTTGCACTGAAATTATTTCTAATTTTTAGCGAAAAATTAGCAATTCACTTCAATCAGTAGATGAAATACGCTATTTTCTAATCCTGAAACTCACCATTTTATAGGGCTCGAGAGGCGCCCGATATAGAGGGTTAAATATTCTGGAAATTTCTTACATTTTTTGGCGAAATATTAAACGCTTAATGTTATAAACCCTTTAGCTATTTTATGATATCTCACAAATTTCAAATTTGTGAGTGAATAAGCTGTTTTTCTTATGCACCTCGGCGGTCACGAAAATGTTGTTGGCGTGGGGGGTAATTTTCTCACATCGTAGCAGAATAAATTAGCCTTGTGTTCACGGGGATAAAAACGGTCGACAGGAAATAAAACGTAAGGAAATAACAAGAAATGCATATTAAATCGTATGTTAATTAATGAAGTAATTGATTAATTATATTAATCATATAACCACTCAGATGATGGCTCATGTGAGCCAAAAGCTTAGCTAGATGGCCAATATAATAAAGAAAAAGCCAAGCTATATATATCTATTTCTTTTTCTTTCTCTCTCCCCTCTCCTTAACTCTATCTTTTCTATTTATCCTTTGCGTTTCCTGTCTGTTGGCTTTGAATTTGCGAGCCACTATCTATGGGGACACTCAGAGCAGTAAAAGACAATTTCTTTCCACATTGACTCTCGTGAAGGAATTTCTGAAGTTGAGCAAGAAAGATTTTTTTTTATTCAAACCCGAATACTAATACTTTCACTCTTTTCAGGAGTTATTTTTCGAAATATATATAGAAGAAACATTGGCCCTTATATCTTTCTTTCTTTCTTTCTTTCTTTCTTTCTTTCTTTCTATCTCATTCTTTTCACTATCTATCTATCTATCTATCTAATCTAATCTATCACAGACTGTTCACTATCTATCTATCTATCTATCTAATCTAATCTATCACAGACTGTTCACTATCTATCTATCTATCTATCTATCTAATCTAATCTATCACAGACTGTTCACTATCTATCTATCTATCTATCTATCTATCTATCTATCTAATCTATCACAGACTGTTCACTATCTATCTATCTATCTAATCTAATCTATCACAGACTGTTCACTATCTATCTATCTATCTAATCTAATCTATCACAGACTGTTCACTATCTATCTATCTATCTATCTATCTAATCTAATCTATCACAGACTGTTCACTATCTATCTATCTATCTATCTATCTAATCTAATCTATCACAGACTGTTCACTATCTATCTATCTATCTAATCTAATCTATCACAGACTGTTCACTATCTATCTATCTATCTAATCTAATCTATCACAGACTGTTCACTATCTATCTATCTATCTAATCTAATCTATCACAGACTGTTCACTATCTATCTATCTATCTATCTATCTAATCTAATCTATCACAGACTGTTCACTATCTATCTATCTATCTAATCTAATCTATCACAGACTGTTCACTATCTATCTATCTATCTATCTATCTAATCTAATCTATCACAGACTGTTCACTATCTATCTATCTATCTAATCTAATCTATCACAGACTGTTCACTATCTATCTATCTATCTATCTATCTAATCTATCTATCACAGACTGTTCACTATCTATCTATCTATCTAATCTAATCTATCACAGACTGTTCACTATCTATCTATCTATCTAATCTAATCTATCACAGACTGTTCACTATCTAGCTATCTATCTAATCTAATCTATCACAGACTGTTCACTATCTATCTATCTATCTAATCTAATCTATCACAGACTGTTCACTATCTATCTATCTATCTAATCTAATCTATCACAGACTGTTCACTATCTATCTATCTATCTATCTATCTATCTATCTATCTAATCTATCACAGACTGTTCACTATCTATCTATCTATCTATCTATCTAATCTAATCTATCACAGACTTTCACTATCTATCTATCTATCTATCTATCTATCTATCTATCTATCTAATCTAATCTAATCTATTCATTATCTATCTATCTATCTATCTATCTATCTATCTAATCTAATCTATTCATTATCTATCTATCTATCTATCTATCTAATCTAATCTATCACAGACTGTTCACTATCTATCTATCTATCTAATCTAATCTATCACCGACTGTTCACTATCTATCTATCTATCTAATCTAATCTATCACAGACTGTTCACTATCTATCTATCTATCTAATCTAATCTATCACAGACTGTTCACTATCTATCTATCTATCTAATCTAATCTATCACAGACTGTTCACTATCTATCTATCTATCTATCTATCTATCTATCTATCTATCTATCTATCTATCTAATCTAATCTATCACAGACTGTTCACTATCTATCTATCTATCTATCTATCTATCTAATCTAATCTATCACAGACTGTTCACTATCTATCTATCTATCTATCTATCTATCTAATCTAATCTATCACAGACTGTTCACTATCTATCTATCTATCTATCTATCTATCTAATCTAATCTATCACAGACTGTTCACTATCTATCTATCTATCAATCGATCGATCTAATCCAGTATATTCATATGTATTTGTATGTGAGATTTAGTATCGCTTTCAATTTTCTTTTTAAATTCAGATACCTTTCTTTCTTACATGGTATTTATCTGTCTATCTATCTCAGACTGTTCATTATCTATCTATTGGTCTATCTATCTATCGATCGATCTATCGAAACCAGTATATCCATATGTATTTCTGTATGAGATTTAGAATCGCGTTCAATTTTCTTTTTAAATACATGTAACTTTATATCGCTCTTACATAGTATGTATCTGTCTATCTATCAATCTCAGACTCTTCATTATCTATCTAGCTAGCTAGCTAGCTAGCTAGCTAGCTAACTCAGACTGTTCATTATCTATCTATCGATAGATCGATCTATCTAACCCAGTCTATTCATATGTATTTGTGTTTAAGATTTAGTATCGCGTTCAATTTTCTTTTTCTATTCATATAACTTTCTATCTCTCTTACATAGTATCTATCTATCTATCTATCTATCTATCTATCTATCTATCTATTGTATTTCCTGTCCGTTGGCTTTGGATTTGCGTACCACTATTTAAGGGGACAATGAGAGCAGCCCTGCTGATTTGTATACAATATCTTTCCACATTAATGCTAGGGGAGGAAGTAGAACAAGAAAAACTTTCTATTGAAGCCCAATTCTTTCATTCTTCTTTTCAGCAGGTTTCATAACACATATAGAAGAAACATTGGCCTTTATTTCTACCTCTCTCTCTCTCTCTCTCTCTCTATATATATATATATATATATATATATATATATATATATATATATATATCTTGCTGGCTAGGTAGCTATATCAGTACGTTCATAATTATCTAGCCAGCTAGGAATCTATTTATTTCAGTCTTTTCATTATCTATCAGCTTTATTGAATCTATCCTTCTATCTATCTATCTATCTATCTATCTATCTATCTATCTATCTATCTATCTATCTATCTATCTATCTATCTATCTATCTTCGGGTATTGATTTTAAAGTAATGTCTATTTTGTTGACACACGATTTGAAGATTTTAAAACTGTACTCTTCAGGGAAAGTCGCATACGGGACTTTGTTCCAGCAAGTGACAGTCCGTTTCTAACCGTTGGAATACGGGCGTAGATTGACGTGTCCTAGGTAAAAACTATTCCGAAACAGCTTAGAATAGTCAAAACAACACGTAATCTTTTTTCTCATAATATCCTTCAGCCAGTACGAAACTAGATTGTAATTCATGATAGACCTTTACTTTTAAAATCGTAATAATGAAAGAGGGGACATGTAATAAATGGAAGAGGGGACATGTAATAAATGAAAGAGGGGACGTGAAGTTGAAATTATAAATAAAGAGGAAACGTGACAATTGTTCATTAAGATGAAGAGGTAAAGTTTGTGGCGTTCCAGGAGGCACACACGTAGCAGTGAGTTACCTTGGGAAAAAGTTATCTGGAGAGAGTTTGGCCTGTCGAAAGTATAGATAGCTAAATTGGTCGAACAAGAAACCTAAAATTTGCCATGGAAAGAGCGAAATATTATCCAAGTGTTGTTACGTAAAAATTTGAATATGTTTTAATTTTTATATGTAACCTTTTACTATATTTGAATTATCTTCCTTTGCACTGGGAATGTCATAGATCATCCGACATTGTTCATATCTACGCAGTGTTTTATCCATATGTAAACAAAGATCATTTTCAGAATGTTCTATTAATCAGGCATATTTTTATCATTTTAAATTTTATTTTTTGTGAATATTCTTATTTAGGGAGGTCCTACCTGTATTTATGACTAGCAGCATGGCCCGGCGTTGCCCGTGCTTGATTCAAAAATCGTACGGCACATACAGCAATCGCTATCACTTGACTTAAAATATGTTTGCCCTTCCTTGCCTTAAAAGAGTGCCCTTTGCTGTGATGATGTTGCTACATGCCTTACTTATTGCCTATCTCAGACTGCCAATTTTTTCTAAGCTCTATACTAAACATTAAATCTGTTGTAAATAAAGAAAATGAACACAAAATGATCAGCTTTAAAAAAAGAAATCGTAACTGGAAAAACCGAATGAAAAAAGAATGTTAACAACAAATATTTTTTCACACCCAACCCAGTTCTGCGGAATCAGAATCAACGTTGAGTTTAAGGAAGCGAATGAGCCAATTGGTGTAAAGTGCCATCCAGATTTAAATTTTTCCCACTTGTGACGAATGCAGCTATCAATTCCTTTGCATGCTAGCATGCTAGTTAATGTTCGTGTCAGTCAGCTGTTGGCTCTTACGCTGGCCAATAGAATCTTCCTGCCTATTCGTGCAGCCAGCTATAGGCCCTCACTTTGGCCAGTAGAAAATGGCCACAAACTACATGAAAACTGCCGTAGAAGAATGAAAAAATCGATTATTTCCACTATCGATGGGAGTTGGGAAATGCAAAGTCGGTGTTGGCCTTTCCCGCTAACTTGGAGCATGTGCATGTAAATTTTGGTGCAAATCCGTCGAAAACTGCGGCCATGCATTCGTTACACAGACACACATCCTGCCTTTTATAGATAGAGATACAGTATATTTATTTATTTTAGTCAACAGGCCTTAATGCTCTGGAAATCTTATCAAAGAAAAAAATTGTTCTCACTCACAGGATTTGAACCTGTGTCCCTCAGAGAATATATACTAAATAAATATGTTTACTAAATAAACGGAGCGTCTACTCAAATAAGAGTATCCAAAAAAAGCAATGTTTAAGGCGATAAGAATATTGTTTATCTACTTTTTCCCGTTGGCAAGGTCATAATTTATTTTTGACTCCTTCGCGTGTTCCATTTGATGGCGGCAGTTTCAGGACGGCTTGGCGCTGAGATAACCTTCTTTCATGCAATAGGAATGGGAAATCTCGATAATAAATCCCTTCATATTGGTTAATCTTTCATCAACATAGCGGGAATAATAGTAATTTCCCTGGCTTAAGCAACGGGACCGCACTGAAGAACAGACTCACTCCAGTGTCGTGATGGTCAACCAGATTAACTCGCCAGCGATTACTCAAAGCGTCTAGGCGATCAACAACTGGCCAATTGTTTAACGAAACCGAATTAAAATAATTTTACGTTAAACTTTGCTAAGTCCAATATTTAGACACAGGAATTCGAATGTACAGAGAAGTAGCGAAAGATGACTTTCGGAAGCTAAGTAATGTATTAATGCATAGGAAAATTTAAATCAGAAAGAAAGAAAAGTGCACTGAATTGTTTTGTCGTATGTTCTATATATCAGTGAAGAGGAGGTATAGAATAGAGATTTGGTTCTCTATGCTGAGAATACCCTGGACGGAACACGTGAATTTCTTGAGATAATTAGGAATAAAAAAAAAAGTATACTTACAGTACAATATAACTAAAGAAAAATTATAGCTGGGGGTACACATTGAAAAAAATGTCCGGAACCATTATTTTTCAATATTATATGACACTATTTGCATTATTCGGACTATTATCCTCATCGCCATATTTATTACAAGGTTTCGGCCGTTGTACGTTCCGGCCTTCTTCAGGTGGTTGGAATGTCGAACTGAACCCTTTATTTCGCTCACTGGGGTAGACTGTTCTAGCTCCACGTGCCATGTCTAATGGATGTCAGTTATCAATTGTTCTCCACCGCCTTGACCATGTATTGAACTCATACTCTTTGGGTCCTGTCACTTGATCTAACTAACGCCTTTATCCTCAAATACACATTGCAAAGTGGATAAAGGCGTTGGTTCATCGATACTCGTTATTAGTTTAAACGACAAAGGAGTTTGTTTTTTCACATTATTCGAACTATTGTCCTCATCTTTGTCGCCATTTTTATTACACCTTCATCAGTGGAACTGAACACTTTATCTTTTATATATCTTCATATTATTTATATAGTCTTTAACTAGACTTCTAGTTCCACGTGCCATGTTTAATGGATGTCACTTATCTGTTATCTCCTGTTAACTCCCCTCTCCAATTTCTTCACTGCCTTATCCAGGTATTGAACTCACACTATTTGGGTCCTGTCACTGGATCTAACTAACGCATTAATCCACTGTGTCATGTGTCCTTGGGGACATCCGTGTATGAATTTCTGGGTATTATAAACCTAATGTGTTCAGCAACCACTTTTACCAGTGCTCATATTCTTTTCATATTTTTCTTTTCAATATTTTTGATACACCCTGTATATATATATATATATATATATATATATATATATATATATATATATATATATATATATAATTGAAATATTGCATATATAGAGTGTATGAAAAATACTTTTACAAACTTTGAGGACGAGTTCCTGACACCAAAAGAACAAAAGTTCGTTCGGTCTGATACTTTGGGACAAATTACGGATAACAGAATAAATCAGGCAGAGAAATCTTCTTCTTCTTCTTCTTCTTCTTCTTGTCATCGTCGTCTCGTCATGAAGCAGGCAGTTACGGCTCTCCACATCTTTAAATTACGTTTGATTTGTTACCATTCTTGTTCTTACTTTTCACATACGATAAGTTAAGCAATGTCGAGCCTGGTCAGTACCGAGATTGGGAATACTTGGTAAGCTTGAATAGGCGGGTGATGTATGGATAATGGCTTTCAATTGTTAATTGGAGAGCCGAGTTAAATTCTAGCTCGGTTTTTTATATTCACTGACGGGTAAACGCTCTTGGGAAATGTATGAATCCACCTCTTCTCCTACAGCTACGGGTTAATTAGTAAGGCTAAGCTTGGATTTGAGACACACGGCCATGTCACGTTGAAACACCGGATCCCGTACTATCGCCGAAGTTAAGCAACGTCGAACGTGGCCAGTACCTATATGGATGAACCCTTGGGAATACCAGGTGCTGCAAGGTTGGATGTGCGGCGATCGGCCATATCAGCCTGAAACTCCAGTTAAGCAACGTTCAGCATGGTCAAGACCTAGATATGTGACTGCTTGGGAAGATCAGGTGCTGTAAGATAGATGTGCGGGTGGTATAAAAGATAAACACTAGGATTTGTTAATCGGAGAGTCGGGTTTCAATTTCTGTTGGGTTCGTTATATTCACTTACGCGCAGGAAAAGTATGAAGGAGTGGAATATTGGGGTTGTTAATCGGAGAGCCAAGATCTAATTACGAGTCGTGTTTTATTCACGTACGCGCTAATACCGTTGGGAAACGTATGAACACACCTCTTCTTGCTCCAGCTATGGGTTAATTAAGCAGAGGTGTATCACTAAACCATTATTATCTCAAAATATTTCTTATAAACTAAAATATTTCTGTCTTTAAATAACCTGCAAATAACCCGTAGAAAACGAATTAAACAACGTTTTTTCTTGTTTTTTGCATTTCATTCACTCAAAACTGTTAAGTAGTTTATCTGTCTTTTCACTGAGAGTATCAAATTTTCCAGGCCTTCTGTTCTCATTACATATCCGAGAAATTTTAGCTGCCTTTTTCTCGTTTCTTTATTAACATTATTATAAACCCAGCAGAGATTAGGGGAAAAATTTTTAAAAAAATGTCAAGACGCAACAATTAACACTGGCAACAAGAAAAAAAAAACTGAAATAATTAAAATATTATATAAAAAAAGCCCTTAGATCAGTGGCAGCCCCATTTTACACAAATAGCGTTGCCATCTCTCAATACAGGGTGAGTCAAAAGTATATCAACAGAAGTACTATAAGATGAATCGAAATTATGTTAACACTAGTATGAAAGGAATTATTTATTCAGAGTTTACTGAACAGTCTCCACTTGCCCACCAGCATGATTGATGCACAAAAAGCAGCGATCAATAGTACAATTTAGTGCCTTGACACGCATTTCACGAGGAATGTTTGATATTACACCTTTTATTTTGTCTTTGAATTCTTCGATGTCTCTAACTTTTTTCTTTCTATACACACGATCATTTATCATACCGCATAACGAGAAGACAATATATTGGCCGATATTTCTTTACAGCTCCAACAGTGACTGCCAAAGCTTACTTACAAATACTGCAAGAGCTTGCTATTGATAACATAACCCTATAAATCAGACGGGCAGAATATTTCCAACAAGATGGGGCACCGCCTTATTTTACCCGTATTATTCGCGCTTGTCTCGATCAAATTTTCTCAAATTGTTGGACAGGTCGCGGCAGACCGTTGGCATGGACAACACACTGCCCTGATCCTACACCCTGTGACATCGGTGAGAAAGCAACTGAAGACGAGGTACACCAGTCAGGATCGATTTCTTCCAGTTTTACCTTAGTACTTTGTTCAATAATACACATCAGATAATGACTTCCATATGGATTTAATCGCGACATTAATCTTGTTCAGAACGATCCAAACCAACTTCTTTCTAAGGCCAATGTTTAAAACAGCTTCAGGCAAATGAAGCCTCTAGATCATAGCGAGGTACACGTAAACTGGCGCTATATAATCCCAAACAAAGAAATGTACCAAGTAAAAGAAAGCACATCACTCTAGGACTTTCAACAGCAGCATCAACTAAAATGGATATCACATGTAACTCGAAGAGAAAATAATGACATAGTCAAGCTGTTGATGGTCCACATTACTTCAAACAAAAGGTTAAGAAGGAAACTGCCTTCAGTACTGGAATGATTGATAGCAGTTAATGGACTATAGAAACATATTTCCCGATTTTTTCATCAGAATGATTTCGTAAACTTAAAATGAAAGTAGCATTGGCTGGTCGGTCAATGAATACCGCTTGTTTCCTTATAAGGAAACGGTTAATATTACAATTACCATCAGTGTATCATTTACATATGCTGTTTTACAAATTACCAATAAGTCAACATGGTATCGGATCAAGCACAACATACTTTTATTTTTTACCAATAACTGGAAATTTGTGGTTTTATGTGTTTAAAAAGACATTCTTTTTTATTTACAAACAGGGGAATTAACATCTACTGGCCTTGAAAATGTATATTTTTTTAAGTGCAAAGACCAATTAGTCTAATCTCAAAAATAGCAAAAACTATTTTGTGAACACAGCTGACTGTACTTTTATCAGTTTACTTTTTTTAATTCCGTATAGAAGTAATTTTATACAGATATGCTGGGTAATCGGCGTGGGAAAACAAAAATTATCATCAGATTTCAATTTCCGGGCGAGTCTGTAGCGTTGACTTTCACATTGGGCAAGGCCTGATCCCGTCTGTTCCCCTTCCAGATATGGATTATATTGCAGAGTAAACTGGACACTCTAGCCTTGGATGGTAGCCGTCCTCTTTTATGTACGGGGTCCCTTCATGATATGGGCGGTCATAACTCTCCACAAACTCCACAACCACGTGGATCTTAGTAGCGTTTCTCTATTTTTTAAGCTTCCTCCAGTTCCGATATCCATTCACACAACCTTGCTGGAGATTCGTTTTCTCCTCCCTATCTCTCTTGACCCAACTAGCCCTGTAAGTGTTAACTTTTCCAAACCCTCCTTTCTTATTATGTGTCCAAGACATTTCCGCTATCCCTTCTAGATTCCGAGTATAAATGTTTGTTTTATTTTTATTTTTTTTCTGGTGCCATTTTCTTTAAACTTTCTTGCTCACTCGCTTCGTCTTTGGGATTTTCAGTATCCTTCTGTAGACCCACAGTTCTGTCGCCTCCACTTACCTCTTTATCTGTAATGACGTTGTCAGTATCCACTGCCACACAAGGGGATACATATCACATCGCATTTTACCATTCTTTTATTTGTTAAAGAAAATGACGACTCTGAAACAGCGAAGAAAGCAACGGGAAACGACACCATTATCTTTCCAATGCAGTCATCGCAACTCAAAGAAAATAAACAAATAAAGCTGCGAAGAACAATGATTGCCTCAATAAAATAAAACAAAAGCAAGAAAATTTATAAAAACTTTTATGATATCAACGAATACTCGTTTGACATTTTTTGTAATGTCAACGAATAGTTGTCACTTTCGTAATGCTCGTAGTAGTAGAGACTTTGTAATCGCAGAAACAACTATAGTACACCAATAAAAACGTGAAACAAATATATGGATATTTGTCCAAAACATTGGATCCTTATTCAGAACATAAGTAATTTTATTCCAAATGCACAGAGTACGTAAATAATTTATAGAGTACATAATTATTCTGTACATAATTTTTTTTAAGTCATTTATCATTGTTTATATATATATATATATATATATATATATATATATATATATATAATATATATATATATATATATATATATATATATGAAAATGTCAGGACGGTGACTTTCAAAAGTCAAGCAAAGTAATAAGAAACAGGATTTTTTTGTTAGAAATTTAAAAAATTCTATCCGAATTCTATTTTTTGTAATGTCAACGAATAGTTGTTGTTACTTTCGTAATGCTCGTTGTAGTAGAGACTTTGTAATCGCAGATACAACTATAGTAACGCCGTTGAACAATACTGCTGTCAGACGCCTTCGAATAGCACACGCACTAATAGTAGTTGCTCGAATATTAATCGGTATAGTGATCTGAAAACATAATAGTGTAGAGAAGAGACGAGAGAATAGCAGTCTGTATATTGATAGAGGATAGAACAGAAATGGAGATCCGAATAGTAATAGACGACAGAATAGAATTCTGATCAATTAGACACACGCTATCTTTCATGTATGCGTTTTCTCTATGGTCACGTGATCCACTCAATTCAATAATGCGATCGTCCGTGTTTGCTCACTGGCGATCTATATTAAAACTCAAGTGTCGGCAGCAACATTTTTGTTCTTATATAACAAAATGTCATAAAGGTAGGAATAAATTTATTAATATTTTATTTCTCTCTTTCTTCGATGTTATCTTTGTTTCTTAATGAAGCATTTACTTTAGTATCATTTATTTGATTTCCTCTAATGTTTTTTTTTATTATTTTATCTCAAACGTCTTCTCAGTTCATTAGCTCATCAACATCTAGAGCAGTGTTTCTCAACCATTTTACCCTTGCGTAGCCCTTAAAATAAATTACATGTCTCAAGGAACCCCTGCGCAAAGACAAAATTATATACCATATCTTTCTCATTTTATTTTCATCGTTGTTCACGTGGTAAAAATCATAGTATACATTTTTGAATAACTGGTTTAAAGAAAAATTAATATTTCTTTGTCAAATTTTTCGGTAATGCTATATAAAATTCATACTGTTCGTTTATAATACTTCATCAGGGAGTTTTCATTCACAGAAAAAAAATTCTAAACTCAAACGTAAAAAATAAACATGAGTAACTAATATCTTATACCTAAAATATAGATGTAAACAAAACGAAAGCAGATAATTGCTGCATCAGTTTTTTTTTTTATCCTTTACTGTCAATGTTGAAAAGACATAAGGTAAATCAAGGTAAAGTATCCTCTAAACCAATAAATGTTAATTTCAGAGCCAGTTGATGAAGTGAAACATGCTTCTCTAATGTGATACCTGTGTCTGCCTTTTGCTACAGAAATACTTAATTCGTGGTCGAGCTTTAGGTAAACACACACTGATTTCATTCTCAATTGAGAGAAGATTTCTGTCTTTGCTCTTGATGCTTGTTAAATAAGAAAAGGTTTATTCATACATGTAAGACGTTGAAAACTCTAACAATATATTAATTGATTTCCTATGAATAGTAGAAAACTCTTCTTTCACAGAAATCCAGAACTTGTCCAGAGATAATTCTGTAAGAATATATTTTGTGTGTTTAGTAATATTACATATATAAAATTAAATAAAAAGTCAAAAGAGCATTAGCTTATTTCACTTGTTATCGTGGAACACTTGAAACATTTCGCGGAACTTTAGGCTTCCGAGGCACCCGAGTTGAGTAACGCTGCTCTAGAGATTCCGGTGAGAAA